GCTCAGCAGCCGTGAGCCAGTGCATCTCTGCCAGACACCTGGGCCCCCAAGCCCAAACCTTTTGCGGGCGTTAGTACCTCCCGGTGCACCAGCTCCGAATAGTCAGGTTGACAAGTGAATTAGAGCAAGCGACAGAGGAGGGTACTTTTCCTGTGACTTGATTAAAGGAGAAAAATAATGCCCATTAATCCATTCCAGCAGCGTTTACTTGTAAAGTGGTCCTGGGAACCCACAGGAGTTTCAGTAGGTTCAGCTGGCAAAATGGGAGTACCAATGGCCTCATGCCTTTCCTTAGCCTCTGTTTTACCTGCTTCTCTCCTCCTGGCCCTGAAAGGCATCTAGTGACGCTTTTAAAAACTAGGTTAAAAGGAAAGTAATGGGACACCTGGTATGTCAAGGCAGCCTGCTCTTGTCTCTGTGGTGTGAAACCCGGACCGAGAAACCGTTCCCAACGAGCTCTCGACGTGCACAGGAACGGGGGCTGCCCAGGCACTTTGCTCTTGCTACACATCCAGAGCCCCAACCAGATGGCCATGGCCAAGCTGAGTGCTCCTCGGTCTCTTAAAGTCTATAAAACTGCGTTTTCCTCCCATTAAGAAGGAAAGCACTTTCATCTTGCGTTGCTGTAAAAGCATCGAAAAAGCTAATGTTTTCTCTGCCCTTTTTGCTTAATATTCTGCATAAAAAACTCTGCTTGGCCTCACTGAAACAGTACTTGAAAGGGATAAGTCCAAAAAATGTCCAAAAGCCCCCAAACCCTGTGGTTTAGCCAAACAGGCTAGATGTCCTATTTATTCCCGTGTCTCAAACACTGACCCTGCAACCCAAGGGAAAAAGATGATGCCCTTTTCTTTCCTCTGCTAGTACCTGCAAATTGAGGCTTGACAAAAGGGGAAGGAAGGAGGACAGTGGTGCTGTCTCATGGCCAGCCATATCTCTCTGTGACCTCTGGGCCAAGGTCATCTTCATTCAACAACTGGATGTTTGATTGACTTCCATAAAGTCCCATCTGATTTCCAAAAGTTTCACGGCAGATCCTCGTGGCCAAACTGCCTGCTCAGCAGAGCTGCACCGGTTTCCAAGCGCTTTCCTGCTGCTCTTTTTCATCCCACAGCACGCTGCTCTCCCGCGAAGGGGAAGCCCGGGCTTGTGGTCACTGCGCTGAGCGGGGAGGCGAGCGTCTGCCACAGGGTCACTGCCTGACCATGGGCAAGTCACCTCACTCCTCTGTCATGCAGTTTTCCACCTATAAAAGGGGAATAATAATAGTCCTGGGCTTTACAGGGGTGAACTGAGGATAACTCACCTGCTCTTTAAGCAAGATGTTTAGAAGGTAACTTCAAAGTAAAGCTAATAAACACGAAAATACAAGTCACTCTAGAAAAGCTCTGCCTGTGCATTTATAGTGGCTTGGGAAAAGCATTTATATTTGTTACATTTTTCTGACACAGTTCTTTATTTTCCTGCTGTAGACCTTCATGCAAAACAGGTTCTGTGCTGCTACCTGCAGCAGTCAGCAAGGGAGAAAAGGTGAAATTGCTCTTCTGATTGAGCAGGGCCGGGGAAAGAGCCACTTTCGGAGCTACATCTTGAGGTGACATCTGCCTGACATTGTTTCTAGGTAGTTCCCACCAAAAATTACAACATATGGATGAAAACAACAGCAGCGTTCCCCTCAGAAGGAACCCGCTGGTGATGGTCTTTCCTCTCTGAATGCATTGGCATGAGTGGGACTTCCACAGGCCCAAGGGCTGAGGCAGATCTCAGCTTCAGCAAGATGCTCTGGGGCAGCACAGGGCCAGGGGAGGGCATCCAGGACTTTTCCTCGGTGGATTTTGCATGGTGGAGCTATGCAGAGATGCTCCCGTCAGCTCGGAGGGAGCTGGCCTGGGAACAGGGTGCCCCGTGGTGACCTCGGGAGGATGCTGTGCTTGGGTTAATTTGCCCTGCTTGCTGCCTGCGAGCTGCGCTGTTCAGAGCAAGCTCAGGTTTGTCTGCCTTGCCTGGCGTTGTGCCAGCTTGACACAAATTTAGTGCCTGTGCTAGATTCAAAGGGGAAAGTAAATTCTTGCCTCACCGGCCTTAACGCAGCCCTTGTCCCGTTGGCTTCAGAAGAACCGGTGCGAGCCTGCTAGCACACCCGCTTGCGCTGCCGGGCTGCTCGGTTTTGTGCCAGGCAGGCAAAACTCCGGATGCCGGGAGGGCAGCAGGGAGCTGGGAGGAAAAAGTAGGGTAGCAGGAGGTCAGACTTGGCATTGGTGCGCTCACTTAAAAGCAGAAGATGTCTGAGCGGAATTTGAAATTAGGAATAAATTACATCGGGGGGATGGATTTGGAAGGACCTGGCTCTTGGCTCTGCAAGCCTTGGGTTTAGCCTGCTGAAGCTTAAAATAATCCAAATGTATGAGGTATTTTACACATCTTGTATGACTCCGCATGTTTGCGTTCAAGTCCAGTGTTAGAAGCCCAAGTCTTGAAGCACCGTCCAGCTTTGCACTGCTGACAAATGAAGCCTTTGCTCTTGACCAAACAGAATGTCAGATAAAAGTCTTTTTCATCTTTCTTCTCTTCTCCCCTCCTTTTTTTTTTTTTTTTGAAGCCTTAATAGGGCTGTTTAATGATGAAACCGCTACTATATAATATGTCTTTTTATATTTTAATTCCCTCCCCCTCCCCTTGGGATAATTTACAGCACAGTGTGGAATCTGAGACAGTTCAAGCTGTGCCAAAGGGCCTGGCAACAGGAAGAAATGCCGAGCCACTGAGATTTGGAACCATAATACAAGTTATAAAATTTAATTTTAGAAATGCAGCTACTGGGAACTGCTTTTAAACGCACATTTTCCTTTTAGTGTATAAAATGGTCCCGTGTCTTGATTGAGCTGTTAGGGTGGCTTGAAAGAGTGCTCTGTAGAGCCAGGGGCACACAGAGCTCTTCAGAGATCTTTTGCTGCTTATTCACAGATACTCAAAATCGGAAGCTGGATGTTTATGAATGTTTATGTATTAAATACAACAGGGATGTGTGGGATAGGGCACGGTGGACTATTTTTGGGAGTTTTGTGCCAGTCCGTTTCACCACTGCAGTCACGAGTTGAGAGGACTCACCACAGGAACAGCACTGGCCACCTCCTTGCGGGGAGGATGGAGAGGCAAAGCAAGCTGCAGAAAGGCAACTCTTCACAACAAGAATATAAAAATTGGGAGCAGATAGAGAGCAAACTATGGTGTTCAGCAGAAACCAAGGATAATGCCACCTTCTTTAAGAGAACAAGTAGAAAAATAAGTGTTTGACCTCTGAGCTAGAGATCTGACATGCATTCCCATCAGGGTAAGAGTGCCCTATAGGAAGAAAGGGGAAGCGATAAGCCACAAGAATTCATGAGGCAGCTGATTTCTTGAGACAAATGTAAAGTGCAAAAATGGGATTGAGTTTGGGGGAAAAGGAGGGACAGTGACATTCACTACTCCACAAGAAGGTCCCCAAGCAGAAGGTACGAAAACGCCATTTTTGGAACTGGGGAATCCTACTCCATTGACTGAAAATGGGTGGGTTGAGGATATTTCCTCATGGACTCACTGCAGTCAGTATCTTGCCCTTCATTTGGAGAGAGCATCTTCAAAAGGAAAACTTGTGTGCCAGAGAGAATCTGCTTTAGGGCTTTCTGCTGAAGGGCTGTTTTCCGTGATCTTTAAGAAGAAAAAGCCCTATTTGGGGACGGGGGAAAATTACAAAGGAAAGGTTTGATTCCACTTGGTTGAGAACGTTGCTGAACCATCCCATTTCAGACATTCCACCAAACAGAAGTCCGCTAAGGAGGTTTCCATTTCAGCCCCAAAGCGTAGTGTCAGTAGCCTTCCTGGATAAGATACCCGCTGGAAACCAACGGACACAAAAGTGGTTTGCAAAGTCAACAGCGACAGGTTAACTGTTAAGAAGGTGAAAAGAAGATTTAAAATTTGTGGGTTCTGTCCTGCCTGCAGAGGAGCAAGTGCTCCAGCAGGCGAAACGTCCCTCTTGTATGCTGTGCGCAGTCTTTGTGGTTGCAGGTTGGCACACAAAGGATCCAGAGCAGAGAGCAGCCACAGGCAACAGTTAGAAATGCATTACCTTAGTCCTTGCGTACCGCTCATTGCTGCTACCTGAGTCTTATCTTGAAACCAGTCCTGCCCGTGATGAAATATGTCTCTGCATCAGAGGAATCTGGATGTGCCTCGATGCTGCACTGGAGCTGGGTCTCTCCGGCGCTTTCCCTGTCCCCTCCCAGCCCCGTGGGGCCGCAGCACTGGAGCTTCATGGGGAACGTGCTCCAAGGGCTGCCCTGGGGAGTGCTGGCCAAGTCCGCTGTGCACTGGCTGATGCTGTACTGTCAGCATCTGCTCTCTTATAGTCGGATGTCTGGTTGGACCTCATTTTTTTTGAAGCTTCTGATGCCACTAAGAGAGACTTCATTGCTCCAGTTGCAATTCTGCCAACTTCTGGTGTTTCTTTCCTACTTCTGTCTGCAAATCCATTGCTAAAGGGTCCAAAAATGGGATTTGTTTGGGTTTGTTATTTTATAGCTCCGTAGTATTTGTCTAATTATGGTACCTTATGACAATCTGGGATTGAATTTTTCATGAGTTACTCCAGTGCAGGTTTAGCACGGGGGCTACTAGAAGTTCCTCCCTTTATTCACCCTTGCAGACCTCCTCATTTTAATGCCTCCTCTCCCAGTGCGAGGTGTAAGAAGGCACTGCAATTTTCAGTGGATCTGGTTCTTCAGACCAGGCCACGTCTCGGGCTGCCCCACAATACGGCTACAATGCATGACTTGCTGGTGTCTCCTGTTCTTGCAAGGGAGGTGGTTTCAGTTTGATTTCAGACAGCCGTTAGCTGGTTAGGTACTTTGCCAGTGGATGAGGGGTTAAAAAAAAAAATATTTAAAAAAGAAAATAAATCAACAGACCTCATGTATCAGTGAGATTTTCTGATCTTTTTCCCCCCCCTCCCACAATAGGACATCGTCAGAAAATAGATGAGCAGACAAAGCCCGGGAGCTTGTCCTTTTCAGAGCGCCTGAGTGAACTGGAGCAGTTGCGTCGTACGGCCATGAGGGTCAGCCCACACCACCCAGCCCCCACACCCAACCCACGAGCCTCCTTGAACCACACCACTGCTTTTAACCCTCAGCCTCAGAGTCAGATTCAGGGTAAGTACCTGAAATCCTCCCCCCGCTCGCCCACCTCCACCCCGCCAGCCCGTGGAGCGCGGGGGCTCGCAGGCGTTGCCCCTTCATCCCTCCATCTCTTCTGGACTCTCCTTGGCTGCCTTTAACGAGTGAGAGCCTTTAATCAGTGAAAGGAGGGGCTTCCTAACATATGTCTGGATTTCTAAAGACCTGACAGATTTTAATGGTCTGTACTGTCTTGTCTTCCTGGTGTCAGTACAGCTCATGGTGTTTGTTAACCTCACCCATGCTAGAACCATAATGTCCTGGAAGTCATTGTTTTCTTGCGAAGATGCATTATGCCAGGCCTTTTGCTATGTGTAGGAGTATTTCCTGATGGATATTTATCAATTGCATTGTGTGCTTGAATGAAAGAGAAATACCATCAACGCCTTGCTTTGACATTTCCCAGGAAGGCTGTAGCAAAGAAAGCTTTGTAAAGTGCTTTGTCCCCTGAAGACAACCTCTTAGTGCTAGGACGTTAATATGGGCAGGCTGGTTTGAGCGTATTTCTGTGGATGGTGGTTATCCAGTGGGTTTTATTTGAACTAAAACCTGCAAAACGGAGTCTGATTTCCTCCGAGGCTCAGGCTCAGACGATGCCAGTGAAACCAAGTCATCTAGCTTGACACCTTACCTGCCACTGCTAGAGCTGAGTCTGTCCCTGCTAAAACCAGCTCTGTCCCGGGGACCGTTTGGAACTCGGTGAGCACTGAAGCAGGTCACTAAACCGTCAGCTGATACGTGTTCTGCAAAACGCCTTTAAAAATGCAGATTCATAGTGAGATGCTTCTAAAGGGAGGGTGCGGGACAGTATTAGTCTTGGCGAGCACTGTTCCTAATGGAGTTTTCCTCTATTCTTCCAGCCAGAAAGGAATGGCCTTAGTCGAGGTTCTCTGCTGAGGTCTTGGGGAGAAACAGTTACCGCAAATTGGAATAAGTTCTTTTTTCAACATTTATTTTTAAAACTAGGGTACTCTTTGTTACATACAAAAAAGGTTATCGCTTACCTAAGGCAAACACTTGTTACATCCTTTTATTCCCATGGCCAGGGAGGTCTTTGACTTGGCGAAATCTGCTGCAAGTCTGCCGTTGTGAGCAGAAGCGGGCATTTTTGACAAGCATGGGAAATACATCAACACATTGCCACGGGCCGCACTGTAGAAGGAGGTGGGCAAAAAGGCAACTGGAAGGACCACACAGCTCCGTCCCTCCCCGCAGCCACGCCAGGCCAGCTCAGGCGAAGGGTCCAGTCCTGCACCTCTCCCGGCCCTGGCAGCCCCCTCACGCAGTTTCCTGACGCGCCGAGCGAACCACGTCGGGTTCCTCCTGCGCACAACTCCCTCCCTGTAGAAGAAAAGGCGCGTATTATTATGGCTACTCAGCGGCTACGTGGGTGGAGGTATCGGTTGCAGACTTGCATTCTTCAGCTTCTCGGGAACACTATACGCTTAGCAGGGTATCGGGTTTAACGGCAAACATCCCTCTTCCCCGGCTCCCCGTGAAAGTCTCTCGCTTGTACGGCTTCAGAGCGACGGGCTTTTCACGCTCGGCCGGGGATTCAGCTGCTCTCTCCAGAAATAGTTTTAGTACGTTGCTCTGCTTTGCTCTTTGCAAACAAGATTTTAGTGCGTTTCACCTGCGGACGTAGCTCGGAAGACGGCAGCGACTGAACTGCCGGCGTTTCCTCGCCGATACCCTCCTCTTCCTACCTTCACCTCTCAGGCTGCTTTCTCCCCATTCCCCTTCTGCCCTGCCTCCGAAACGTGCGTGTTATCCATTAAGCAACTTGTTGAGGCTTGCAGTCGCTATCAGTAAAATAAGCCCCAAACTGAAGCCTCCCTCATTCGGGACTGTCTCTGCTGCAGATGCCTTTTAATTTCTAGGGCTCATTTTTTCAGGGTCACGCTATCACAGCAGGGGAAAAGGGCTAGGGTGGGAAGCAGCTCCAGCACCACCGTTTTTTTCTGTGTTCAAAGGATGATTGGTTTTCAGGCTGATCTTCTGTGTGACCTCTAGGGAGGCGGGATACTTTTTTTTAATTTTATTTTTAACAAACAGCCCTACTTCTCAGAACGCAGATCCCCCAAAACGAAATGCTTCTAACCTTCTCTATAGCACTGCTATACCTAGCTGCACATCTTTGCGTCCTGAAACACTTCTACTGAAACTCTTACTGAAGAGAGCACAGAGTGCTTTTTATATAGACATAAAATAAGGCATAAAAATCCCATACATTGCTAACTTCCAAGTAGTAGCATTAAACTTTGCTTTAACTCACACCAGTATGAATCACAGGCTACTCCTCTATTCATCCAAGTCCAATTATCTTTTTTTAAAAAACAAAACTAACTCAAAATAGACATCTCAGACTAGTTCTTGGATTTAAAGGGGCAGGTTGCCATGCCACTAAACCACTGTTTATTTGTTGAGGTTTTCATCTATAAAAGGATTGAGGTTAATTTTAACTTCCTACTTTACCAAATCTTGAATTTGCGCATAAAGCTGCTTGTGTCATGGATACAAGTCCAAGCAAGCTAAGAGACCATAAATTGCTATAATCGAGTTTTATGCTTCTTTCATATCACAAGGAGGGAGAAAGTACACCTGTTCATTTAAAAGATCTAACCATAGCCAATTCGCAGACCAAAAGGGATCAGAAGGGGAGAAAAAGCTTCCACCACATCACACATGGTTTAAGTTGAAAGATTACTTTGTGCCAGTACCAAGCGTGTAATGTGAAAGGATTTGACCTACACGCAGAGAGTAAGGAAATTCAGTTAAAGCTCCAAACCCGGCCAACGCTTCAACCTTAACTCACCTCTTCCTTTGTACAGAGGGGAAAAGAAAGTGGAGACAAGTCAGCTGTGTTGGGGTGTTGTTTAAAAAGTTTAAGTAAGACTCTTGATGAGCATTTAAACTTAGACATAAAATAACTATAAATATCTCTATATCATGGTTGAGGTTCTTCTAACGCCAGCCTGAACCAAATACTAAATACATAATTACTGATTTTACAGTGGTTAATGTTAACCAGAGGAGGTAGAACTCTAATTCAAGAGTTTTACATAAATATGAATTTATATGGTTCCTTTACACTATCGTTTTTTTCAGGTCCAGCAGAAATATTTTAAATGTGTAAGTCACCAGGCCAAGAAGGTATTCTTTTGGCGGCACTAATGTTGAATTAATAAATTGCATAATGGGGTTAGGAATATCATCCAAAAACATGCACAATTAAATAACTTCAATTTTTTTTTTCCAAATTAGACCAAACAATGTTTCCAACTGATGATTTATTAATTACCCATAAGTTAAATAAATAAATAAAATAAAGCTATTTTTTTTTGTCTCGGAAAATCAAATAATCACTGTAATCACTTTAAGCTACATGCTTCTGGTTCTTTTTATGCTTTTATAGCCTTAAAAATATCTGAGTTTGCTCACTTGTTTTTTTTCTTTCCTTTTTTTTTTTTTTTTTAATTTGTAACTTTATATGTTAAGTTTCAGCTGGGACTAGGCTTTTATGACCAAGTCAAAAATCCCTGGAAACAAGAGGCTGTAACAAAATTGCTGACAGATCTTTAAGCAAAGCAGCAGAATTAACACCGATAGGAAAGCAAGGGAGACCATTTAAAGATCAGCTCTTTGAATTAGTACGAAACATAACGACTGAGAGATTATTTTGTTACAGGCCAGCCTTTTGTCTTCCTCCAGGTGCAATACCCTTTGTTTAAGAGACATTTCAAGGTCCTTGCTATCGTAATCTTGTTCCACCAAAACCAGCCCAAGTTTATCAGGGTTCCCATGAACCGGTGAAACACAGGACTGGAGTCAAGGGCGGCATTTAAGCCCGGAGACTTAAGATGGCTTTGTTCCTACTACGGCTGTATCCTGCCCCGATTTTTAATATTTCCAGTTTTAAATCAGCTTAATCGGCCATAGGTTAGCAGTTAGAAACGTTCACAGGGCAGCGTTGCAGAGTAGGCTTCGATGGGGCTGTCGTTCTCCCGCCGCCTTTTGCTGCTGCAAAACGCCGTTTTCAGGGGCTTTTGAGAATCCGGATTGACATGCTCGCAGCTCCCTGCCAAAACAGATAAACAGGCTCTCAAGATTAGGGGCTCGCCAACTCTTTCTGTTGTGCAATACGCTAAACGCTGATATTTTTATGTTCTTTGGACACGTCTGCGTCTCCCCGTCTTTTCTCAACCTGGCGTGCTTGCAGAGCGAGTGCACGGCGCTTTAATGGCGTATCGTCCTGTTTCCACTTGATTAACCACCTGACCTCTCCATCCCAAAATACACTCCCCGGCACG